TATATATATACATAAAAAATAATATATATATACACATTTAAAATTACTGCTATTTTAGTGCTCCTGTAGTCCTTTAGTGAATTTCCCATGTTAAACATCTTTGCTACAAGTTATATAAGAACTTTTTTTAAAAACAATTTTTGAGAGACAAGGTTTTATTATATTGCCCAGGCTGGTCCTGGATTCCTGAGCTCATGGGATTCTCCTGCCTCAGACTCCTGAGTAGCTGAGACCACAGGCAGATGCACTACGTTCAACTTGAAAAAATAATATCTTACGTTGCCTGTATTTTCAGAGATTCACATAATTGGTCTGCTATGAGAAGTTTGAATAATACTACAATCACACTTCTTAAAACCACATAAACCCAATCCTTCCAGAACTGTTTTAGCATATTTTGAAAGACATTAATCAGAATCTGGGAGTTAAAGACAGGTCACAGTATGAGATTTTCTGTTTCTTAGCTCATATTTCAGGTGTTTCCAGTGTTAATGGATATATTTTGAACAAAATACTTATGACAAAATAAGAGATGCAAAAAGGTCCTCTTGGATCTAGGTCATTATTACATAGGAGCAGTTTCCGAGAAGCTTGTGGGTTATTTCCTGGGCTGCTGTGGAGTTGGAGAAGCAGCAAAATATATTATCCTTCAAACCAGTGTTGTGAATCCTTGCGTTTGCAAATGCTAAGGAAATGTCTCCAGTCAAGAGCACAGTCAGAATTCATCACAGAGTGGTTCAAAATAGTGTGATAAAAAATTTAGACAAATTATCTAATTATTTATTATCTATTACTACAAATACCCAGTAGGATTTGATCAACTTTAGATGATGTCTAATTATAATTATCCATGAAATTCTTAATCCTAATTTTAAAAAATTACAATTACGAAATTTGGTTGACGCTGACAATATTTTATAAGAGTCTGGTGGGTAACAGACCAGCAGCAGGCACTGCCCTTGCCATAAAGGAGCTGGGAATAAGAGGTCAGGTTTCCAAGAGGTCTGTAGATGTTTCATTATGTTTCTATGTATTTTCAACTGTAGTTTGGTTTTATGTGTTTATTTAAAGATATTAAAAAACATTGAAGAGCAATTTTTTTTCAAGAAGGTTGATCATTCTGAAAACTCAAAAAGAAAAAATTAGAAAGCTCAATGGCATTTTTTGGGTGATGATCTAGATAACGGGAAGACAAAGGTTTTCATTACTATAATCATTAGGAGAAAGGATTTTCTATTTGAAATTTTAGTGGCTGGGTGCCATGGCGCATTGACTGTAATCCCAGCACTTTTGGGGGCTGAGGAGAGAGGACTGCTTGAGCCCAGAAGTTAGAAACCATCCCAGGCAACACAGTGAGGACTTGTCTTGACAAGTATAAAAATTAGCCGGGTGTAGTGATGTATGCTTGTAGTCCCAGCTACTCGGGAGGCTGAGGTGGAAGGATCACTTTGAGTCCAGGAGGTCAAGTCTGCGTGAGCTGTGATGGTGACAGAGTGAGACCCTAACTAAAAAAAAAAAAAAAAAAAAAGGAGGCTAAGCATGGTGGCTCACACCTGTAATCCCAGTACTTGGGGAGTCTGCAGTGGGAGGATTGCTTGGCAACATAGTAAGACCTCATCTCTACACACACACACACACACACACACACACACACACACACACACAGAGCCAGGTGTGTTGATGCACACCTCTAGTGCCAGCAACTTGGGAGGCTGAGGTGGGAGGATCACCTGAGCCAAGGAGGTTGCGGCTGTGGTAAACCATAATCATGCCACTGTACTTCAAACTGGATGACAGAATGAGATACCAACTCAAAAAAAAAAAGTAGTTAAAAAAAAATTTTAAGAGCCATGCCAGGTGTGGTGTCTCATGCTTGTAATCCTAGCACTTTGGGAAGCTGAAGCTTGATATCAGGAGTTCGACACCAGTCTGGGCAACAAAGTGAGATCATGTCTCTACAAAAAAATTTTAAAAAGAGTAGCCAGGTGTGGTGGTGTGTACTTGTAGTCCCATCGACTTGGGAGGCTGAGGCAGGAGGATTGCCTGAGCCCAGGAGGTCGAGTCTGCAGTGAGCTGTGATCATGTCACTGCACTCCAGCCTGGATGACACAGTGAGACCTTAACTCCAAAAAAAAAAAAAAAGCCTCAAGTATGATACTTTTAAAAAGTTCAACATAAAAAAAAGGAGATTCAGGTTTTTAAATATTTAACAATATTAAGAAAACTATTTTGCTAGAAAATTTGAACAGAAAAAGATTCAACATATATTACCTATGTAAAAAAAAGACCTATAGTTATAACTTGCTACATTTAGAAAAAACTTAAATGATGGAGACATAATACATCTTTCATAACGAAAATGATCATTATGCAAACAGCTTACAAGGCACTGAAATAATATTCTTTCTACAAAATTTTACAACACGTCCTTTTTACACGTGCCATGCACTGTGCTAACTGTACCGATCATGACAAAAGTAATATTCTCCTTTCTTTACAGACAGGAAAGCTGACTCAGAGAAGCTGATTTTAATCTGCCAAGGTCCCCATAGTCAAACTGGGGCAGAACTGTGCCCTTAACTGTGCAATTTCACAGAATTTGAGTACACTTATTAACACCGTCACTTGACAAAACACACACTCGCCATTTATCTTTCAAGACATTTTGTTTCTAAGTTTATTACTTAAATGTTAATTATTCCTTGTGCTGATAGAATGAGAATCCTATATCTTCTCATTAGAGCTCGGTGCAATTTGAACAGAGACTGGATGCTTTTCTTCTTCACGGCAGTGAAAAGAATAAATCATGACATACCTGCAGGCATTCTAGCACATCGAATGATTTCCTTGACATCTCAGTCATGGATTTTATGACACATGATGGGAAGGAGTTATGCAAAGTGAGGCTTCCTTTCCTGCTGGGGAGCAGATGAGTGCACCCCAACAGGTCGGACCCTAAACAGTCAGATTTGTAAAGTCACCACTTAACTTCCTGGGAGAAAACCCTTCCCCAGACAGCGATGTTAGACTCCTCTGCAGCTTGGAGCTGGACAAATGAGTGTTAATCTATCCAGCCCTAGTGTTTGTCTGTGATCACCAAATGGCCACTTGAATACTAAGGAGATTTTTAACCACTTTTAAATATCAGATATGATCGATTACTTCCAAATTTAAAAGTGATACACAACGTTTAAAGAAAGGGGAAGCCTTTAAAAATTACTCAGTGACTTGCTTCCCAAATACAAAGGGGAACCTCAAAAAATCTGGAATTATCTTTTGGAGGGTGGGCCCCTTGTAGCACAGGTTCCCCCGCTAAGTAAGTGTTCTAGGAACCCATCGGTATCAGTGGACCAGCTGGCGTTGTTGTGAGAGGCTGCATTTGGCTTCAGTAAACTTGTTTTTAGAGATTCTTTCAATGCATTTTGCCCATTTCATAATGGGTGATTTATGAGTGCACCTGCCCACAGTGTGTTGGGCATTCAGCAGTTTGTGACTGAAAATGGCATGACCCCCGTGTCCCACCCTCCCATTCACCCGATTTCACTCCGTGCAACTTTTTTTTTTTTTTGTCTCCCCGGATTAAAAAAAGTCCTCAAAGGGAAACATTTTGCCAAGGTAGAACAGATGAAACAGAAAGCAGCAGAAGCACTAAAAGGCATCAAAACTGACGAGTAAAGAAACCATTTTGAGCAGTGGAAAAAGCATCTCGATGGGTGTATTGCATCAGAAAGAGAGTAGTTTGAAGGTGACTTAAGTTTAAGCCATGTAAGGATACATACATAACTTTTTATACATAAATTCCCTTTTTTTTGGAACTGCCTTGTATCTATAGGTGTGTAATACGTGCCAGACGATTTGCTGGCACCAAGAGAACATGGTGCCCAGGACATACAGCCACAGGCCCTGCTTCATTGAAATTGAGAGTTCAGCCTGAGATTCTACTCTGAGTTTGTGCCAGAAAAAGGAGATAGTGCAGCACATTTGAGGTGTTCATCCATTTTGAGTCACCACCTTAAAATCTCAAAATAAAACATCAGTCTTAACAATACACGGATATAACACAAAATTGAATTTTTTTGGTTTTTCAATTTCCTTTTCTTTTGAGATTACCGTTCTCATGGATGGATACTTAAAACACCTAAAGAACATGTTTATCCAAAATTAGAGAAAAATGATGGCAAAGAATAAAACAAAAGAAACAATGATATCAAACACTACATAAGGCAAAAGCCAAAATTCACACAAAAAAGATCCCATATAAAATAAAGCCTGGTTTGTCCTGCTTTTGCTTCTGTTTCACAGGTTGTACCTTGGATTTCCATCAAGTGTAAGAAAAACCACACACCACATGCAACCCATGTTATTGACAAAGGCATGAATATCGTCCCTTCCACGTAGCTGGCCTCTCAGCTTCACCAACCTCCCTAATTATCAGATTTTCTCTGCTCTGCTCTTTGTATAATCACCTCTCCTGCTCTGTCTTCCACCTCAAATTACAAATATTTTACTTTACTTTAAAATATTTACAGGTCATTTGACCTACACAATATTTTGCTCACTTCTATTTTACACTGTCTTCCTAACAAATCTTTCTTCTCCCAAATATAACACTGAGTGATCACAGCCATGAAAAGCAGACATCTTAGGAACATATATGTCATCCCATAAGTTAGGACATAAAAAACTAAAATCTGTCCTACTAGGAAAGTTGCAGCCACTCAGTAACCTCCTGACACAATGCTTTTGTAAAGCAGCTTCTGTCTCACAACATGAAGCAATCATTTAGCAATTTCTTTCAGCTGTCACAGATGCAAGGCTTGAATCAATTTACATCAAAGTGATTCAGAACAGTGAGCATTAAGTTAAAGCAGAACAATAGTGATACGGTATCTTAGGTTCTCAGGAAGATAAAATATTTTCACAGCTCTCTGAATATAAAATAAAATACTATAAATGAACAAGTTATTTAAGGAGTTTTTTAGAAACATGATTTTACTTACATCAAGAGAGCCTTCATTTATAACAATCATTCCCATGTTCCTCTTCAAGAGTTTGCAGGAGTGTCCTATGTCCAAACAGAGTAAATCAGTTGATATAATTTCTCCAGGGAGAAGACATGATGATGTTAAAGGAACAGTATGTACTATCAAAACTTCTAAGGATGATCTTATTAGTAGCTAGGGATGGCAGTTGAGTGTTTTCCAGGTTTATAGGAAGTTAAAAATGAAACTCTCTTGTTTGTTATGGGAGGGGTACGCTACAAAGACACCTGGCCTGGTAAGACTGCCTTGATTAAAAAAACGGAAAGAGAATGTGTTGAGGATTCTCAAAGTCCTGAAAGTGGACAAATATACAGGGAAAAACTCTTCATAATGACCAATGTGAAGAGCAAAAGATGGGCCAGTGATGACCTCGAGAGGAAGGGGTGGGAGGGAGCATGATGCCTCCTGAATCCAATAGTCCCACTCCATTTCCATTCCCAGGAGGGCCATAACCTCCTTTCCTGTCCTGTCTTCTCTTGCTTTGTTGTACTTACCGCAAGCAGGGCAAAACCAGCCCTCTGCTGAGCCCAACTTTGCTTACTCTGCACCTGTTCGCTACAGCTGTATATAACTGGAGAAAAACAAGCGACTCTGGTGACTGGTCTCACGTTAAAAAATATGCCATCAACTTAAAAATGACACTGTCTATTCTCACTCCTTTTGTAAATGCTGACCACTCTGAAACCCATGCCTCCCGCTCAGACCTGCTTCCTGAAAGCCCGGCCTCTCATATCCAAGTGCCTACCTAACAGCAGACACTTAGGTGGTAAGCAGGCATCTCTAGCACCCCAAACTCAGCCTATCCAAACACAAGACTCCTCACTGTCCCCTCAGAGAACCTGCTCTTCCCTCAGTCTTTCTTGTTTTGGTTAATGGCAACTCCATCCATCACAGTGCTAAGGCCTAAAACCTTGGCGTTACTTTTGGTTCCTTTCTTTTTCCACGGGCTACGTCTGATCTTTCAGTCAATCCTGTTGGGTCCACCTTTAAAACACACCGAGAACCCACCTACTTCTCATCACCTGCCCCTTTACCACCTGGCTCCAAGTCATCACGCTTTCCCGGATTAACGCAAGAGCCTCCTCACAGTCTCCCCACTTCTGCCTTTACTTTCCCTCAAGCCCACTCTCAGCCTTGCAGCCAGAGTAACTGTTTTCAGCCGCAAGTCAGACATGTTTCTCCTCGGCTGAGAGTCATCCAATGATTTTCCTGTTTACTTGGAGTAAACGCCAGTTCAAACAACAGGGAGGCCCCATTCACCCTGGGTTCTGCTACATGGTCGATGGCTTCTCCTGCTATCCCCTCACCCTGCATCTGTACTCTTTCTGTCACAGACAACTTTTCCCTACGCATCACATGACGAGCTCCATCTCTTTAAGGACATTCCTCAAATGCCACCTTCGTAATAAGTTCTTCCTGATTTCCATTTTAAACTGAGTCCCCCTGTGCAAAGTCCTGTATCTCTCTCCCATTTTATTTTTCTTAATAGCAATCATTGCCATCTGATACGCTATGCACTTTTCTAATTTACTTTATTGTCTGTTTCTCAGACTGGTATCTGAGCTCCACAAGGGCAGAGGTTCTGGCTTCTTTTATTCCCTGCTCTGTTTCTTGCACTTAACTGGTACCTGGGACTGGGGACACTGTAACCATTTGCTGAATAAATCTTACCTACCTTTTTCTAAGAATAGTCATAGCCCAAGATTCTCAAAGTGAGATGTAACCAGAAACTATCACCATTTTCTTTTTCTTTAGGAACATTCATAATGGCTACATATCCCAAATGATTTGTACTCAGCTGCCTCACATATCACTCTTTATTGCCACAATTCTCCTTCTGTTTGAAATCTTGTTTTCCCATATTTCTGTCAAGTCTCCCAATTCTAATGCATTCTGTATTTCACCATCATTCCTTTCTCATATATCTTCTTTCCATTTTGTCTCTGACATCAGTGATAATTTTTATAATCAAAACAAACAACTTGTGTGGCTTTCAGATGTAAAGTTCTACTAGCTAGTTTAAAAAAATAATAAAAATTAACTTTCTATTAATAACATCAGTTTACTAAAATTTGAAGCAGAGTTTTACATTTGCTTTAGGCTGACTGCTCAAAGAAACGTTAGCTAAATTTTAAAAATAAAGTTCCTTAAAAATGACTTTCTAGCCGGGCTCAGTGGCTCAGCCTGTAATCTGGCACTTTAGGAGGCTGAGGTGAGTGGATTGCCTTGAGCCCGGGGGTTCGTGGTAGCGCGCGCCTGTAGTTCCAGCTACTTGGAAGGCTGAGGCGGAAGGATCGCTGGAGCCCAGCAGGTCAGGGTGACAGAGTGAGACTCCAACTCAAAAAAAAAAAAAAAGACTTTCTAAAAAATGTGGTTTCATGCTGTGAACTCCCCTGAAATAGCATCTTCAACTTGGAGGAATCTTGTATGCAATATATATGATTAATACTGGCAGGATGAATCTCTGTCAGGGTTACACTGCTCGCGCCACCTACTATTACTGAATTTGGGAAAAACAGTAAGTTTTTTGGGTATATTATTGGCACTATAGGCTTCTAACATCAGATATTAAAACTTTCTTCTCAGAAAGACCTCTGTTATGGACCGAATTTTGCCCTCCCACCACCCCCAACTTAAATGTTGAAGGGCTAACCCCCAAACGATCTTAAAGGACATCATGAGGATTATGTGAGGTCATATGAGTGGGGCCTGCTATAGTCTCACAGTCTGTATGCCCCTGAATATGTTGAAACCTAATAACCACTGTGATGCCAGAAGGAGGTGGGGTCTTTGAAAAGTGATTAGGTCACAGGGCAGAGACTTCATGAATAGGATTAGTGCACTTAGAAAAGAGGCCCCTGAGAACTGCCTCACCCCTTCTATCATATGAGGGCACAGTGAGAAGGTGCCATCTATGAACCAGAAAGCAGGCTTTCATCAGACACCAAATCTGCCAGTGCTGTGACCTTGAACTTTCCAGTCCCAGAACTGTGAGTCTGACATTTCTATTGTTTATAAGCCACGTGGTTTATGGTATTTTATTTCAGCAGTCTGAATGAATGAAGACAGGGCTCTCATACAATAGGACTGATGTCTTTATAAGAGGAGGAGACAGCAGGAACACACGTGTATACAGGAAAGGTCATGTGAAGACAGCCAGGCAGAGGGGCCTCACCAAAAACCAACCCTGCAGGCACCCTGCTCTTGGACTTCTAGCTTCCAGAACTTGTGAAAGTAAAGTTCTGTTGATTTTTATTAAAAAAAATTTTTTTCGGTTTGAATCTGGGTCTCACTCTGTCAACTAGGCTGGAGTGCAGTGACATAATCATGGATTGCTGCAGCCTTGACCTGCTGGGCTCAGGCAGTCCTTCCACCTCAGCATCTCGTGTAGCTGGGACTACAGGTGCATGTCACCAGGCCCAGCTAATTTATTTTGATTTTTTTGTAGAGATGAGGTTTTGCTATGCTGCCCAGGCTGGTCTCAAATTCCTGAGCTCAGGCAATCATCTCACTTCAGCCTCCCAAAGTGTTGAGATTACAGGCATGAGCCACCACACCTGGCCCAATTTCTGTTGTTTAAGCCACTCAGTCTGTGGCATTCTATCATGGTAGCCTGAGCTATTCTAAACTATTTTCAAAAAATTGAAATTAACTGTATGATAAATGCAAACTGGCAATCTTCTTGCTTCCCATCTCAGAAATAACTTTGGTTGCATAAATAGCTGCCAATACACAAGTCTACTGTAAACCCAATCTCCAGACAACTGCAGAAATGTCACCTGCATGTGCCGCTTACAGATGGGGTGTGGAGTCAGCAAAAGTGCCCAAGTGAGAGAGGGCATTGTGTGGGTGCAAGAGATAAAGACTGGCTGTGTGTAAAACCACTGCAATTATACAGGGGCCGTGGAGCCACAAGTAAATATACCACGGGTGCCAAAAAATGTATACACATTTTAAGCGATGTTATCTATGTATGACTTTTTGAAGCTGAATTGAATGACAGTAGCAATGTGCAGTATGACATGCGCTCAAAAGATGGCATTAATCAAATGAATGCTAGTGTTACCATGTGACATGTAGGACAAAGAAAATGGTGGAAGCACAGTTTTCCTTCGAGAAGCACAAGACTATTTTGAAGTGGTATTTTAAATTCAAGAATGTGGTGGAAGGACAATGACAGTGGAGGCATGAGTATGCAACAGAACCTCCAACATGCCTAATAATACGTTTGTGATAAGTTTTAGACACGTGGTCCCATGTGTGATATGCACAAGGGAAGACAAAGGAGGCCTCACATAGCAATAAGTCCTGCAGTAGTTCGCCATCGTCAGAAATGTCTGGACACTGATGGTCACCACTTTGAGCACCTCTTGGAATTACAAAAGTTAGATATGACTTGTATTCATCTTTTGTTCTCAGTATGTACTGAGTATTACAATTTTAAACCGTTTTTTCTTAAAATGCATACTTTTCCTAAAATCCATCTTCAACCTATTAAAAAGCACCAAGATGTAAAACTCTAATTAGGTGAATTACCAATGTTAATGGCAGTTTCTTGCTTGTCTCCTGTGAGGATCCAGATCTTGATGTCTGCTTTCATTAGAGTTTCTATGGTTTCAGGCACTTGATCTTGCAATTTATCCTCAATGGCCGTTGCTCCAAGTAGCTGAAGATTCTGGAGAAAATAAGTGGTACAAATTTCAAAAAGAAAATCAGTGTAGATTCTTTAAAAACAAACACTGCAAGTGTTTTAAAATCAGAGACTAAATAATAATTTATGACCTTTGGTATAAACTCCAACTAGCCCATTGAGTTTTCTCTCTTGAAGATCCTTGACTTTCACCCAGTCTTCAGGTATAAGACTGAGGGTCCCTTAAGCTGTGTTACCTAACACCTCCCTGAGGTAATGAATAGATTCTAAAAGTAAACACATACAGAAGGGGAGTAAACCCAAAAGTTAGCTAAAACATATGAGATATACTAAGAAAACAACAAACAAAAATGAAAACTATGGGAGATTACCACAGTGAAGAAGTCATCTTGTTGATCTATTTGAAAAAGTGAGGATATATGCTAATACTATTATATGGTCAGGCAACCCCCTCGGGTCCCCTCCCACTGTGGGAGTTTTTCAGTCCCTTCAATACAGCTTTCAAAAAAAATTGCCATCTGATGCACAGTCAGGAAATGTATATATGTGATGCAGTTGAACAGGACGAGGAAGAGAACAACAAAGCAAGTGATAGCAAGTTTCCGTAAGAAGGAAAAGGTTGAGCGTTTTCCATATTGCTATACATTTGTGTAGTGGAAGATCAGACTCAAATTAGAGATCTTTTGCTCATTAGAGGATATCTTGCATGTACGACCAAACATCCAATATGCTCTGGGGAAAGCTTCTCTTTATGAAGAAGAATGGTTTCTGCTCTCACCTTCCTAAGTGGAGGTGATAGAGGGGGAGAGACCAATCTCTTGGCTGTTAGGGAAACCTGGTTTGCCAAATAGATGATGTAATGGTGTTCTTGGTCCTAAACACACAGGAATGCACAGTGATGGACTAAGATTGAAGCTCTTCTTTCTATCATGTGACCAGGCATAGGTACTAGCTGTGCACCCTTCCCAACAGTGCTCTGCAAGCTACACCCTGTCTTCCCCATTACCCATCCTACAACATGATCCGCTTCAGCATTTATCTTTCTTCAGAGCCATGTCCTCCTCTCTTGCCTTCATTTATTTTTTTAATTTAAAATATAGGCCAGGGCAGAATGGATGCAAAGAAAATTAAGCACTGAGGGGATACTGTCAGAATTGGTGATAACAAAGAAAGACGTTTTCTACTTTTCCTTATTTTTCACCAAAATTGGAGTCTAAAATTGGTCTCAATTTTTGGTCAGGCATGGAAAATGCAGTTAACTACATAGGCAAACATATAAGAGTATTTATATGTATGTATATATGTGTGCAATTTATGTCTGTATTAGTTAGGAATGCTTTTGGCTGCAAGTAATAGAAAAAGCTCACCAAGCAATGGCTTAAATAAATTTTCTCCACTTAAGTAGTATTAAAGTAGGCAGTTGTGGATATTAGATTGGCAGCTCAACCAGACCTCCACTCATTCTCCTGACCCCTCTTAGTGTCCCAAGGTGGCTGTCACTGGTATAATTATAACAACCACATTAAAGACAAAAACAAGGAGTTAATACCAACTGTACACTCATGTGCACAGTGTCTGCCTGTGTATATACAAGTGTGTATGTCCATTCATAGACACACATATATATCCCCATTGCCTTGTCCAGTGAAACGTGGTTCATCCTTTTAAGTTTTCCTTTACTTCTCAAAACAATTTTCCCCCTCTGCTGTGTTTCTACAGAACTTTGCTTATCTTCACACACCTTAACATATCAATTAAGATAAGCTGTTTAAAGGCATGTGTGTGGTAGGTTTGCTCACAAGTGGAGACTGAGTCCTGTCCATTTTTATATCTTCACAGCATTGAGCGTCAGCATTCACTATGTTTGCTAAGTGAGCCAATGACAAACAAAACACAGGCAAAATATAAATATTATAAAATACTGCTGCAATCTAGACCATTTTTCTTTTCAATACATTCTGAATAACATGGGCGTTGTTAGGTACCCTTGATGCATGACTTCTTAGTATATAATATATAAAAGGAGGCAAATTTCCTTCCTTAAGAAGATAGTATTATTTTATTACCCTTAATAGGAAGCAGATTTGAAATCTATCATGACCTGATGAATAATTATCATCAAGAAGTTCCAGAAAGAAAGGAAGAATAGTTCAGCCTCAGCTATGCCAGTATCACAATTGCTGAATTTCAATGTTCAGACAACGAGTGTATCAATTCTTTCAGCTACTTTTAGGTTATTTGCAGTTAAATCATGCTGGCTCACATCCCAGTGAAAACCAGGATGTAGTCGTGTTCAAATTTTAAATATTCTACAGAAGGCATGAGCAGGCTTTTTTTTTTTTTGTTGGGTCGGAGTCTACTCTGTCACCCAGGCTAGGTGTGCAGTGTCATGCTCATGGTCACCGCAGTCTTGATCTGCTGGGCTCAGGTGATCCTTTCGTCTCAGCCTTCCACATAGCTGGAACTACAGGTGGGAGCTATCATGCCTGGCTAGAGAGGGTTCTTTAACAATCTTGGAGACAGTTCAGTAATTCAAGCCTTCAGCATTTTCTAAATAAAAAACATACTTTTTTGTGACATATGTCATAAAACTGGGTAACTAGATAACATGGGAGCCAAGATAGGAACACACTCATTAGAAATATATAAACACATATGTTTGTATATTTTCTAGCTCTGAGACATGAGTTCAGAAAGTATACAGATAAATATTACCACCCACAGACCCATAAAAATAAGAGGACTTCACTAGAGAGATTATGCTGAAACTATATTCAAAAGAAGAAAAGCATCTGGTTTTGCGCAGGTAAAAGGGAAACATTTTTCAAACCAAGCAAAAATAATTTAAAGGGCCAAAGACGTAGGGCCAGTGGGTATGCTGAGCAAAGTTATAAGTAGGTTAACACGGAGTATCTCAGTGGCTATGACAATAGGAATTTCTAAAAAGGCTAATAAGACATTTCTGAATATTCAGTAAAACTGCAGTGGGTCTACTTTGATGCCCATGAAGGAAGCACTGCTCTAAGAGTCTGTTCACTTTCCCTTTATCCTTAGAGCTCTTTGGGAACAGCACTTATTAATTTTAGTGGAAGGCTCCAGACGCCCTTCCTTTTACCCTGGTGTCATTTATTGTGAGATTAGAATCTTGAGTGATAGCCTGTTCTGCCTCTGGAAATTAATATCTTTAGCTACATAATGATCATTTGAAAAAAAGATGTGAACTTTGCGTGCTTTTCCTGATCATAACACAAGAGTGTTTAGGCCATAATCAATTTCATCCCAAACATGTATTACCTTACACAGATGGCCACTAATGGGCACTATGGGAATTACATATTCAGCAAGTGTTGAAACATGATAAAATTCCCATGGCATTTGTGGAATTATAAAGAAAAAACCTAAACACTAATTTTACTTTCAAAATGTCACCATGCCAAAAGTTATAAAGGTTTCTGGTTGATGACTCTTTGACATAATATAGATTTAGTTATCACTGAAAAATCATGAAATAATATTTATTCACCTACTAAAGCCCTCAATAATCTTATTTTCTTTTTCAGATGTTCCTAATGCATGCAGAATTTTTGAAAAAGCATATAAGTGTAAAATCTCTACCTCAGTGAAGTTAAAAAGCTTCATGTATTAAAGAAACTTCAAGTAGAGTCATGTAAAATGTATAATGATAGATTCAGAAATTATGTTTTCTTTTCCCAATACCTGCCCATTCGCTAAATAACAGAGTCTCAAAGTGATCCATTTCTATATTAGCAAATATTTTGTCCATGCTTAGATGATATCATATTTTTTAAAAGTTTGAGATTTGTTCCTACATGAGAAAAGTGTAATCATCAAACTCATGTCAACTTAGGTGTTGGATTATAACATGGATTATTTGGCAGAAAGTTCCTTAAAGACAAATCAAGATGGAATATTGGTAAGCAAAATTCGACCAGGGGAGTCACTGTGGATAAATACCAGTAACACGGAGTAACATTAATTTCAATATGAAGTAAGATTATGACTGCGGAGAGGAAGAAGAAGCAACTAGCATTTCCTGAGCAGAAAAAATGTACCAGGTGCTGCTGAGTGCTTTACCTTGATTAATTCTGTTAATAGCTTCGGGGTGGGGGGGGCTGAGTAAATGATGTAAGGTCAAATAGAGGTGCAGCGGCGCCATGATGGTAGGAACAAAACATGAAGAATCAATGCATACCCACAGGAAGTGAATGGAAAGCAAGACTGTGACTAAATGGAAGTTAGAACTTTATCCAATTGTCCAGCTTTTAACATTTGTCTCTATTTTTCAGTCTTGAAGAATACTCTGTTCCCATGAATGGGTTACAGCCTCAGTCCTGAGCCACCCCTGCCAGGTGCAACTATTTCTCTACTTCCACTTGCAGGCCCCAGATTCACATCTTGGGTGTAGCTCCTTTACAAGTGCATATGCATGGCTCCATTCATTCATTTATTCACTCACAAATATATACTGAGCAGGAGGCAGTTCTGGGCAACATGCTGGAAACAACAATAGTGAGCTCCTTCCTGTGTAGAATTTCTATTTCAGAAAGCATCATCAGAGACTCTTCTTTGGATTCCTCCCTCTTATTGCTATTTCTCCTGAACCCTGCCTGCCTGGCTGTCATCAAGTCCCAAGTAATTAGCCACTGGGCCAGAAATCTAGAGTGGCGCTTTTCAAACTTTAGCATGCATCTGAGGCTTACTGACACAGATCGCTGGGACCCACAACCAAATCTATCATGCATAAGTCTCAGGTATGGCCTAGAAATGGGCAGCAGTTAAAATGCTGTTGGTCTGAGGACCCAACACGAGAACTGCTGACCTAGAGCAAGGTTGATAAACTTTTTCCAGAAAAGGACAGAAGGTAGATATGTTAGGGTTTGAGGGTTATGCATTCTCTGCTACAACTCTGCAGTGAGTGGATCTGGCCCTTGGGCTGGAGTTTGCAGACTTCTGATATAGAATGCCCGTGAGTTTCCCATCTCTGCTCCTGGCTTCATCCTGAC